AAAGAAACACATTTTTGAAATGTGTTTCTTTTCTTCTCTTTTCAGCATTAGTTTGGGTTTACATTTTGGTCACTCAGATTTAATACTGCAGTCATTATGCAGAAAAGAAGGTGTAATATTAATACGTCTATGAGAAATGTATAGGTAATATATTTCTAATGGGAAATATTGAATCCTATTATTAAGAAATTCATGTGGTCTAGTTTAGACTTAATCCTAGCATCTGATAAGTATGATAATCCTTTATTGCTGGGAGATATTTAAATTCTGTTTTTTGTTGTACACTATAATTGACAAAAATTGATGTGGCTTAGGAGCTTCCTCATATATAATTTGTGTTATTTTCAAATGTAGAACTTCTTCTATCATGTGTTGCCCTGTTACTCATTTTTCTGATGTTTAGAATATTTCATTACAACACTGCGGTACAATCAGTAGTTTAAACAGCCTTTTTAAAAAATCTTTAAATGTTGAACTGAAATTTAATAGATTAACATAAGTAAACAGTTGGATTTACAAAGCAGCCACACTAGATTGTATTGGATGTTTCGTCAAATGAGTACGCTCTTATTATGTAATAATAGTGAGGGAGAACATGAAAAAAGATTACAAATGAGACAAGTCTGTTCAGTCTATGGTGCTCATTTGGCTGCTTAGAGCTTAACGGTTTATAAATTCCAACAAGTCATTTCTGGAAAGATCTTATGGAGCTGCTTCAATACAGTAGATAAGCTAAGGAGGTTTTTCCAGACCACCACAATTCTGTCGTGGATTCTCCTAAACTCTGTTTCCACTTGACACACATTGCTCCAAGCATCATCGCTGACCTCTAACACTTTAAAGTGTCCTCTGAATTGACTGACTGGTGTGCACAGGCTTTCATTCCAACACAACTTTGCTCAACTCTCCAGGTGTTGATACAGTACTTTAAACAGTGCTAGAAAACTTGCTGACACCCCAGACTTCCAGGCAGGAGTTGGACCACTCAAAGATCTTTCTCATACATTGATTTTTAGATTTTACTACTGCCCAGCTGACATTTAAAGTGAATTCTTTCTGCTAGCAACTGACATTTTGCAGCCATTCACATTACATATATTCTGCCAGGTGTTCACCTAGATCTGATTAGTAACTATATGTTTTTATAATATGCTGAGAAAATAATTGAATTTCCATCCATTTTCGTATTTTGTGCAAATTCAACAAATTAACTACTGTATATCAGAGTCTACATTTTTTATATAAATTACAAAAAAATAGAAGCACTTTACTATAATGAATAATAGCTACAGTAGCATTTTAGGAGGAGAAGTACAGTATTATTTTTTGTCATGTTGAAATTATATTGTATCTTTTGTTTTCTTTTTGTCTTTATTCCTTTAAATTTCTCCTTTTTAAATAAAACACGTTTTCTCTATTTGTAAAAAAAAGCCTTATATGATGTATATGATGTACTCTTTTGGTCTCACATTAAAGCATTAACAAAAAGGAAAATGTAAGTTGTTAGATATAAGCAAATACCAAACAACTGACTGTCCTGTGTCTGAGGGCAACTCCATTAAAATGCAAGGTTGGTTGGTTTTAATAGGAATGTAAAGTGCCAGTGAATAAAGCTGGTGTGAGGTATGGATTCAGTGTGAGCTTGTTGTAAGTAGATGAGGGGCCTCCACACCATAGGGGAGCCTCTTAACGAGGGTAATTTGAATTTGTATATGTGTGAGTGAGGGGATGCTTGTGTCATGAGAAAGAACGGTGTGCTCCCCCCCACAATGCCTCCCTAAAGTGTACTGTATGAGCTGGGAGGGCTGCAGCCCAACATTTCCCACCACTCTCTCTCCTCACAATGATATCCTGCCACACCGCATTTCCTTAGAAGAAGGCTCCTTTTTTTCAGGAAATCTGCTGACTTTATTTTTCTCCTTGGCAGCCTGATGACAACACATAAGGAGACTGCGCTGCTGCCAAATCCTGGATGTCGTGCTGCACGCAGAGAAGCACAGTTGCTTGGTCCTGATATTCCAGCTAAGGAGGTCTAGAACTGCTGCTGCCAGCTACAGTAAATCAGCAAAGGACTCCTGAGGTGTGAAACACAAATAAACACAAAACATTGGCAGCATATGAACAAAAAGCAAACAATATTTTAGAGGCATATAACAAAGTCCTCAAATTCCTCAAATTCTAAATTAGAAACTACTTCGCAAATGGGAATAAACCAGGTCAATGGGTAAATGCTTAATATGCTTTCCATCAGATGAAAAGTCAAGATCGCAACTACTCATTTGTTCATTAAGGATGCCAGTGAAAGAAAGGATCAACTTTTCTAAGTTACAACCATCACTATAATACCACTGTATGAAATGCTACTGTATGTCATGCCTTGATCTTGTGCCCTAAACCAGGAACAACTGGAAAAAATTGTCTCTTGTACGTAGACTGATTGAATACACGATTTGTGTATAAGACATTTATACACTGCAGGAATATTAACACACATTTATAATATGCAAAGTCCTCACTACAGTATGTGGATCTGTGTCCTGATAGGCAATATTTATAACCTCCTCTTTATCTATAACCCTCCATGAAACAAGATGTTTTCTTTGAACATCTTTAGTAATCAAAAGTGATTGATAAAAATGTTACCAAGTTAGCCCAAATGGTTTAACTACAGTAAATCAAAGCCAATCTTCTTACCACACTCACTGTGTGAGCACACGTTATCAACTTGCAAAATAATGCCCTTTCTAAATTGTGAGGAAGAGTTGTCTTCTTGCTCAAGTCATCGGCTATGAGGTAACTGAAGCTCTCTGGGGCTGGAACCTTTCTGAAAAGGATGGCAAAAGGATAAAAAAAATTAAAGTGAAGATTTTTTGGGATTAATTGACCTATACTTCAGACTATTTTACAGTAATGAGCTTTGCTGTAGCAGTGTTTATTTTTTTGTCAGTGGATATACAGTATATCCCTATTTGTTGTGACATTGTATACTATCTGATCTTATTTTCATATTTGTTATAGCTATCTATTGAAAATGGAGTGTGTGGCATATTACCTCAGGCAATTATTATGTTATTTCCTTTTAATGGCATCTTAACTGAGCAGTGAAAGGGCAGAAAACCATTGCTGTGACTGCAGCCTGCTTTTTCCTGAATTCTTCTGTTCAGGGGGGTCTTGACCGATTCTGTGAGTCCTATATGAATAAAGAAAAAATGAACCGAAACAGAAGGCACCAGGTCCTCATAGCTCCAAGGTCATGGGTTTGATTCCTAACTAGGAGGTCTATCCGTGTGGAGCTTGCACGGTCTTCCAATGTTCACATGGGTTTTTGCCTGGAGGTAGTTTCCTCCTACCTCCCAAAAATGTACCAGCTAGGTCTGACTCATTACCCTAAACCCTCTTTTTTTCCCTGTGGCTCTGTGATCCTGAATGAGCATCCCATCCATGGGAAGAGCTGTCTGCTCCCCTTCTGGCTTATACCCTATGATTTCAGGACAGGCTCTGGATTGCCAAAACCTTCAGTGGGATAAGTGGGTTTCTGGCAAATATTCTGGGAAAATGTTGTTCAAATACTCCTTTTTAAACGAGGTGTTCCATTTAGCATCAAGTGTTAAATACCTAAGCAGGGATGTGATGAATTTCAGATGGAGGGATTCCACAGGGAATCAGTTTTACCATGTTGATGCCTATCAATCACTTATATAGAGATGTGCCATGAAAAATAATTGGCAAGGAAGGAGTCTGAAACGACGTGACACCAGAGCAATGATTTAACTACCTCTCTCACTTGTTTCACGAGCCTTTTTCTCTAAACTCTTCCTCCCACCCATCTGTAAGGAAACTGGAAGAAAAAAGTAAATGACATTTTTTTTCCCCCGCTTTAGTCTTGGCTAACATATTACACGCACACATAAATTGTAAGTACGGTTAATAAATTACTTGTAGCACGCTGATAAATGTGTAAAAGCCAACCAATAAACTTTACTATGACAATAAAAGAAACTGTAGTTTTGCAACAGAAGCAAATGTATTAAAGTGTATTGCTATTGTAAATCTCTGTGCTCCAAAGACAGATTCTCCATCAGCAAAGCAGCCTTCCTCCAAGGCAATTTTCATGCTTAGCTTACTTGGGCTTTCAACTACAGAAGTGTTTGACTGTTAGGATTCAGAATATCATGTAAATCACACAAAGTTCATTCCCCACAGAGTCAACATCAAACAAATAAACAGACCTGAAAATTTAGTTGAATATAAAATGTGCCCCAAACACTATATGCTGCTCTTATAGATCACAATAATTTCAAACCGCACTGCAGTAGAGTTAATCTGAATTAAATGACAAGTATTGCAGAAGTAATTTTAACCAAATTGCATACATTGTAGTAGTTCGAATAACAGAACCAACAACACACTACAATCCAGTCACTTGAATGGTCTATATCTAGCAGAGGTACAATAGGCCTGTTTAATCAAATCACAGTCATATCAAACTAAATGAACTGTCCAACCTGTGCACATAGGAGTCTGATTATTGAAGGACAGATAACATCTGACTCAGCACCTGTGCACACACATTTCTGTCTGTACAGATGTGAGTAGCATCTGTAACAGCTGCCATGTGGGACTACTTAGCCCCTACATTTATGAGTGGAAGATTAAATGAATGAGACTTTTGTGAATTTAATATGCAAAAGCATTTTGTTGACTTCCACTTTATGCCCTATTTTGAAAACGCTGAGTGAATAAAAAGTACTTAAAAGTATTTACACTTTCCAACAGCCAGGAAAGATCACATGGATGATTCCCACCAGTGCAAAGTACAGTACATATTTCTTTTTTTGCATGGCTTCAGAAAAAATGACCTCATTCATAATCTGCAGTGGTATCCCTAAATAAAATTTTGGTCAAAAAAGAGATTCTTCTTTTTTTGGAGGAAGACAACATTAGTAAAAGGACTGACAATAGATACAATAAAACATAACTTTTAAAACGTTATAGTTTTATTTTCCTCAAGTTTACAGTACATAGTTATATTAGGCAGCAGTAGTTAGCATTATTGTCTCGTTTTGCTGGGGCCCTGGGTTCAATTCCAGGTCTGGGGTGCTATCTGCATGTAGTTTGTATGTTTTCCCCGTGTTCATGCCGGGTTCTCCAGTATCCTCCCACTGTCCAAAGCCACATACTGGTGCAGTAGATTAATTTACTTCCAGGAAGACTGACCCTGGTGTGAGTGTGTATGGTTGTATCCGTGTATGCCCTGTCATGGACTGCTGTCCTGACGTGGTGTATCCTGCCTTGTGCCTGTTGCTTGCCATTCCCATGCTCCGGCTCCTGTGACACCGAATTTGATAAAGCATCTAATGCTGGGTAGATGGATGGGTTATTTTCACCTCCTAGGGGGGAAGGAAGTGTAAAGGTATTACTGTGTTTGAAGCTCAGCTGTCTTGTCTATACATTCAAAATGCTTGGCCTACCAAGAACCGGCCAGCCTGACCCATTTAGTACCATACATTCATGAACAAAATAAAGTCCGTCTTGGCAAGGGAAAATGTGAGGGTCAGGGGGGAGTGTGGGGGAGCTGCCTAGGTGCTGCCAGCGGAGCTGGAGTGATGCCTCTTGATGTGCCTGTGAATCAGCTGCTTGTCTGGGGAGGTGTAGGGGCAGAGGTGGCAGGAGAAGGCCTCTCCAGTGTGATGCCTCCGCACATGAAGATCCAGGCTCTTCTTCTGGATGCTGCAAGAGAAACAACGTCAAGCACGTCACGGGTGGCAAACACCAGAGCTCTGGGCCAGGGTCTGGTCAGAAATAACTACATGTCAACATACAGGGGTTGCATTGGTCCTCATCACAACTTTTAATAGGGTTTTGGCCAAATATGAGTCAAATATATAGTTATTTGGCACAGACTGGTTTATACCCACATAAGATAATTACATCTGTGTATAGTCTAGAGCTCTAGATTAGATCATGCATAATCATGACCTCAGATGAATCAACTACAACACCGGTTTTCCATTGTACTGCCTCTAATTCAATCACACACGTGGTATTTTTTACGCTTTTTACATTTTTCATTTAATACCCACTTGGGCATCCAAAAATGTTATTATATGTGCTTTTTTCAGCTTAATGCTTTGAAATGTTTGAGCAAACTGTTCAGGTGACACTACAATATGTAATAAAAAATGCCAACACCAAAACAACGCTGCTCTAAAGACAGCATTGCAAAAGGAATAAAAATCCAGCATCTGCATGGATTGATCAAAATGAAGAATCAATTTGTGAGTGAAGCATTTTCAGACAGATGGAAATTATGTAAGGAAAATATCCAATAACTAATTAAAATATTAAATACTCAATTATTTATTAATATAAAAAGATATAATATATGACAGTAGTGAGCTCGATGAATGAAGACGTGGGCTGGAAAGGCACCGTTCTTGAATGGACATAGTTGTCTCACCAGCTGTAGGGGCAATGCTGGCACTGGTGAGGTTTTTCCTGAGTGTGTATCCTGGAGTGTCTCCGCAAGGAGCTGGCATCTATGGAGGCATAGGAACACTGGCTACATTTGAACGGCTTCTCACCTGTTGGAAAGCACAGACAGGACTGAAACAGATTCATACACACACACTGACCTTTTTCCTCCATGTTAAATGTTAATAATCCATCCATCCATTCTTCTACCTGGTTCTTCCAATTGAGGGCTGCTGTGGAGCCGGATCTCAGCAAGCAACAGGTGAATGCCAGGGTACCCCTGGATGGGACGCCAGTCCATCTCATAGCACACACAGGAACAAGCACACACACGCTCACACCAGGGCCAATGTTCCCAGAAACCAAATAAACCACCAGCATGTTTTTTGACTGTGGGAGGAAACTGGAGCACCCAGAGGAAATCCACACAAACACGGGCAGAACATACAACTCTTTAATAAAATGAATACAGGAATTGAACCCTAGGCCCCAGTGCTGCAAGACCGCAATGCTGCCACCGTCCCATCATGCCACCCTAAATGCCAATGATACTGGAAGTAACCTGTGCTACATTATGGTACGAATTCATTGATTTTCTCAAGAACTGAATGAAACCAAACCATTATTCACAGAGTACTTTCTAGAACGATATCCAGCAAGATTTGTTTTAAAAAATCTGCACCTGATTTTTATTCAACACTACTAATTCGAATTTTAAAGGATTTAAAAAAAATGTTCACCTTTTGTTGTGTTTTTTTATGTTAAGCAGATATTAACCACTAGGAGTGGTTCCTGGAATTCTGATCATATTTATCAGCATCATAGTGTAGAAAACAAATCTCCCATCTACTAAATCCTCAAACTGGCCACGTAAAGTGGACTCGGATTAGCCTATATATTATTTCATTTCAGAATCATGGAGTGACAAACAAAAACTAATTTTGCACTATTTTAACAGAAGTGTAGCACATATTGGGAGTACAGATGTGCTCTTTTGCTAAAGGGACCATATAATGGATTCAACTAACTATAAGCAAAGGACAAAATAATGAAAATATTTTAATTAAAGTAACAGGCAGGAAAAATGATTCGGAGCATTCCTGTCGTTATTCAGCTTTGCAGATGGAACATCTTGATCGAGACTCCGTTCCCTCCAACTAAGATTACTTTCCCTCACAGTGTACATCCAGACTGCTAATGAGGCCTGGGGTAGACAACTTCTGAAAGGTAGGGAATATTGATTATACATTGACTTCTCTGTCTTTTAAAATGACATACACAAATTTCTTCAAAATACATCCTGTGCCTTTAAGACACTATCAGGTCACGGGAGAAGATTTCATTCGCAACCATTAATAAAAAAAACACAGATCAGACATTCTCTTCGGTATGCCATACAGTTCTTTGTAATGTGATGTGTCCCTCTGTGTTGCCATGGACATCAGTCTCTTCTATTCAGTCCAGTGTGAGAAAGATCTTAATCCGACCCCCATCACCCCCCACAAATTCTTCACTTTGTAAAGAGTGATAAATGCTAATCAATTAAAATAAAATGCCTCTAAATAACTCCGCATTCCAATGTTTTTTTTTCAAAAGCATGGAAAAAAGTTAACCTCTGTAAAAAAAAACAAGTAGAAAGGATCTGAACTGCTGTTTATTATCCTTTCTCTTTTTTATTCACTTACTTGGAAGTAACTGAGCTTCAAAAATGCTGTCAATATCTTCTGAAGCCACGACATATTAAATTCACCATTAAAAATGGAGATCCTTAGCCAGCATGTGTCAAGTATACTTCGTAAGTTGAATTGCTCTTTGAAGCTATTTTGGCTTTATTTTTAGTATTTTATGTGTAATTGTATAGTCTCTGTTCACTTCATAGTCATCAACTTTAAAGGGACTTCACATCACGTCACTTTCAATAAATTATTTATTCAATTCAAGTTCACAGTTGCCTGGAGCTCAGGAAGCATTGAGCTCAAGGCGGGAAACACTCTGGATGGGATATCAGTCCATCACAGAGCACTCTGAGACACAGACATGCACACACTCACACCAGGAACAGTTTTTCCAGATGCCAATTTAAATACTAGCATGTCTTTGGAATGTGGGAGTTAACTGGAGCACACTGGGAAAATGTACGCTAACACGGGGAAAACATGCAAACTCCATGTACTGTAGATAGCACCCCATGATTTGAACACAGGGCCATAGCACTGTGAGGCAGGAATTTGTAACACTGCACCATGGTGCCACTCTTTAAATGGACTTTTCAGAAGCTATTTTTAAGGTAACAGTGAGAAATCATGACAAGTATTAAGAGTGAAGATACAACAGAGAATCTCACCCAATTTACAAAGTATGAACTGAGGAGTACATCACACTCAACTTCAATACAACAGATAAACGCCTATAGTTTGCTGAGTACTCAATCTGTAGTAACTTAACAGGCTGAGCTGCACAGACCCTACCTGTGTGGATTCTCATGTGTTGAATGAGGGAAGCCTTCAACCTGGTCTTGTACTGACAGTCCTCACATTCAAAGGGCTTCACCCCACTGTGGATTCCCATGTGTCTTCGCAAGGCCAGTTTTGAGGAGAACTTCCTGAGGTCAAGAAAGCAGCTTTAGTGCCACAGTTAGAAAAGCAACAAGGAAGTCCTTCTGATTAGAAAAATCAGAGACACTGTCAAAAGCATGTTTTCCAGGTTCAGTTTTAGTCCTTCTTACTATCTTATTGTCCTTAGGAAGTAAGTGTGTTATTTAGGAGTGGCATTTGAGTTTGATTTTTATTAGCCATCGATGACAAAGTTGACCCTTCACACTCTCCTTACTCTAGCTCAACAGTCAGACCAGTTACCTGTTTCTCATTCACTTTCTGCTAGCCACTCCAAGCTACAACTCTAGGTTTCTTAAATCGCTTGACATTACCCAGCGACTAAGAGTTTTACAGCTCATTTCTCATTCCATGCTATGAATCAATTCAGCCTTTTCATATCTGCGTCAATTCAGTGTTTATTGGAGATCCAAGTCACTACTAATCTGAATATATAACTCCCCAGATAATTAAATAAAGCCATTATCATAAATGACAGGACCGCATGGCCAGGGAATTCGCCCAAAGGAAGCAATTTTGTATTTTTATTTTATACTTTACTGTACTTTATAATCCTATGCATCAAATTAAATGAGATAGACTGGGTATAGAATGAGATTTAAAAGTGTCTTTATAATATCTAATTTAAAGATAGACTGAGATAGAACCAAGTATCTAAAGCTAGTTTGTATTCTGTGCATCTGTACATTGTGTGATTTCTGCAGTTTTGAATTTGAAGTTCAGATTAAAAGTGTAATAAGATGATCTAATAATGTATTTTCATGACTGCCAGGAAGATTAAAGAATGGAGAGCACTGATGTTATAGGCAATACCAACTGTTAAAGTATTTTTAGATGACTTAAGACAGCTTCTTTTAAAAAAATGAATGCACTACAGTAGGTCTCCCTGCACAAGAACTATGTTGAGATGCCGAAACAGGGAAGACCCTCCTGCCTGGCCTCACTCTATGTGCTACCATATATCAAAATCTATTGCTGTTTTATAACACAGATAAAATCCTAAAGGTTTCTCCTTATTAAACTAATTCTACTAGTGCGATCCTAGTAATCAAACTTATAATTCATTATGTAACTTAAAAAACAATTAAGCATTACCAGTTGTTGATTGCAAAAGAACTGTTAAGTTATTCACTAAAACTTTATAAATGTACTTTTTTAACTACAAGATTTAGTCATGCCTTTTCTACATAATGTAGAAATTGATGATTCCCTTGCCCCTTAAAAAAGGGCAATAGTCAACATACGATCCTTTTTTTGTTGTTGTTCCACTTTTTACCTCTTGTCTATCTGATTGTGATTAACCATTCAAAAACCTTCCCCAGTTAATCATAATGTCACTACAATTCAGGCTGGCTAAGTCAAGCAACATAAAATGCACATGCCTTGGATTCATTCCCAAGAATAGGTCAAAGAAAACTATGGTATATAAACCCAAAAGGATACTGTATGAAGCTTCCACCACCTATTGAGTTCAGGTCTGAGTACTTATGCAATTAACATACAGTAATTTTCTATTTTTTTCTCTTTAGTTTTTGCTGATATTTGCTCTCCCTGGAAGTCTTCAGCTTGAGCATTCGGGTTTTGTTTAAAGTATTAATTTTGAAAACAAATGCACACATCATTCTGTAACTTCACAAAATGGGACACCACAGGAAGAGTTAGAATACTTTTCCTAGGCACTGTATACTGTATAGTTCGTAAGGCCAAAGCAAATGGCTGATACGTGGTAAAAGCTCTAAAGTTGTAGTTACAGCCACAAGACCAAGGGCTTGATGTTATTCAGCATTATATCATCACAGTGGTCAATCAGCGCATGCGAAATCAGGATAAGCGGGTTGAATTAACAGGCTGACACAGGCATCCTACAAGACAGGCGTGTGACTCAGTAATATTTCTATCTCATGTTTCATTGTTTGACTAGACTTTGCTCTGTAAACTGACCCAGTACAATGTAACCCCTGACCTTCAGATGAAGTAATGCTGATGACAAAACAGCATGTGGGCAACAGGGTTGATGCTGCTGTGCTGTCCATTTTTTTTGGGGGGGGGGGACAGGACGACTTGAAAATATATTTAGTTGAGAATAATCATTTAACTGTTTCCCCTGTACTGATATTCACTGCATATAAAATCTATTCAATAACACCCCAACCCTGCTGGTTTAGGACGGATGAAGTTGAAAAATGACTGTGAAATCTTTCAGTGTATTCATTTAAAAGTAACCATGGGCTGTTTAAAGTTTTCTTCTCGATTTTTAACACGTACTGTAAAATTTGACTTGATACAAATACATGAAAATATAGGACTGAAAGAATTGTTCTTAATTTACCATTTTTATATTAATTATAGACATTATTATACTTTATTTTACTAGAAATATACTTTTTAAACATTGTAATGCATTGTAGGAGCTGGATATATACAACATATTGTAGAGGCTTTTGCATGCGTATACTGTGTATTAAAATCATTAGGTATTATTATATTCCAAACTTCGCAAACTCCTAAAGAAACACTACAAATGTATATGTTTACCAAGAAATTGCATTTTGATTTATGCACTTCTTTGACTGACATATGCTGTTGAAAACTCTGATTTGCAACATGACCTGTGCATTACTTCCACACATGACTACTGTTACCATCAACAGTGATAAGCGTGTATTAGATGAAAGATTAGACCATTGTCCATACATGTTACATTCCTTTAACACTCACTACTTGAGAAGAGCTGGTCACCATTAAATCCTTACAACATTGTGGGAGACGCAGAGATACAATACATATTATTCATGACCTGGAATATGTGCACTGTCATTTATTTCTGCCCTGCTCTCCCGAGAATGCAAAACAGCAGTGCTGTACAAAATTTCACAGAAAATGTACAGGCCCTTTACCAACCAGTGATAAGACAGCCGCATCTCACTCAGCAGGTATAAAACTTAGAGAAATGAGCACCACTCATTTATCTCCATAGTTAATGGGCTTGAGTTACAGGTCTTGGCCTGCATACAACACGCCTAAGTCCACACTAGTTCTAATTTGAAGCTCTTGTAGATTATTTACGATGTTAAAAAGGAAATTAAAAATCTAACACACATTAATTATATGAGAGTTCACATGAGGTAAATGTCTACTCTTAAGAGCTCAGCTAGCTCAAAATGAGAAATCACTGCTCACAGGAATAAAAAGGGAATAAAAAAATGCAATTGTTGCCAAAAGAAGACAATGAAACAAACCTTTTGGCTGCACGAAAGATAATCAGTCAAATACACTGTAGCTAGCACTACATTTTCCACAAAAAAACATGTCATGTTAAAGTAACATGCCTGTTGTGTAATTTTCACTCTTCGCTTGGTTTTCAAAAGAGATCAAACTAAGAGAAAAGACTAAGCACTGTACTGCAACAGGACGTTCACCACTACTCATGTAAACCTACTTTTACTGGCTCATGGTTGAAGCTAATATACTTTATTTACAGCTTTGAATATTAAAGACAAACCTTTTGGAACTTTTAAAACAGAAATAAAATAGAAATAGCATTATTAATTTGAAAGAACCATGACCATATGTTTGTCAAAGCAAATGATTGTCTGGAGGCATTAAAAATCTGATGGCAGCTGACAGCTTACAACATTCTACTGAAAATGGTTTGTAAAACTGATGGTATCATTTAGAAGCCTTTTTTTCCTCCTTTGCTCCTTGCATCGGCTGGAAAAAACAATTTGTTTCGGAGGCTAATCCTTAGACGACGATGACTTTCATGTAACAGCACAAAATATGAACATAAGAATCCTGAAATCCTCAGCAGCTGAGGTCATACCTGTAAAAGAAATAAGAACCTTTAAAGGTTCATATTTATTTTATAGGATTCATTTAATTTTACATTCAGAGGATAATTCATTAATTCATTATCCTCTGAATGAAATTGTAAAAATATAGCTGGGTGAAAAAAAAAAGTTTATTTTCCTTTTAAAAAACTGATTTGTTTTCCAAAATTATTTGGAATAATAAATAGGGTTTAAAATATATACTGTAGCACAAAGATGTGCTTATTTTCATAGCAAAAAAGATACATGAAAAACCATCTCAGTGTAAGATCAAACCTAATATACAATGCAAGTATAACATAGAGCTTTCTGTGCTGATATGGGGGCTGACCTCTTGCAATTGATGCAGCATGTCACTTAAATTGCAGGACTGTCCAAGATCAAGGTGTTATTAGCTATTCTCAAAACGAATGCGACTTTTTACTAGCTTTTTCAGTTAAACATTACAAAAAGCACATAAAATGGATCTCTATATCTGGTTTCCTGAAGTTGGCACTATACTCTGACCCTAACACTGTACTTAGATTTTGTGGGAGGGATATAACAGTTTCAAATACTTATTTTATTTCATTAATGTTTCAGATTTAACCAAATATGATGAGTATATGTCAAAGGCCCTAAAACAACTTTAAATGTATCTAAAGTTCTATATGTTTTTAAAAAGTTTATTTTTTCCAAAGATACATATCGCCTGCTTAACTAGAGAGAGAGTTTTAACAAATATTTTTTGTAAAACTTGCTAGAATAAAGCTAGAAGATCTAGGGTTACCAAAAAATTGTGGAATACTGTGGAGACTACTCATTCTCAAGTATTTCATTACTAAATTGTTTTTACATGCAACCACAAAATAACAAGGTCCTTTTTTTCCTACTTGTTCCTTAAAGGCCATCAATTATTTACAATCTGTGCCTGCCCTCTAGTGGTAAACCTTGCAGAATACAGGTATGACTCCAACAGTTGGCTGTAAGAGCTACAGGGTGCCCCTGTCTGTAGCCTTTACTTTCAAAGACCAGTTGCAAACAAAGTCTTGTTCACTTATGTCAGGCCTAGAGTTGCAAAAAGCTCACTCAGGAGAGGCTCCTTAAGCTATAATGAGCAGATAAAGCAAGGGGGGAATTTTTACCTGAAGAACAGGTTCATTTTCAATACAGCTCTTCATGATTGTGAATTTAAGTTAGTTTTGGTAAGTGCTTTACACATTTCATGTACAGGTACTTTAATTGCCAAGATAAAGGAAATACAAACATAAAGTGGTGGTTTGGTGTTTTTGTGATAGTGGTGGAATACTCTGTCTCAGACGCTGCTCCAGAATCTTCCATTAATGTTATACTGGATTGAGATTTGGAGAAGAGATTTGTATCGTATGTAAGCCTTTAGGCCTTTAAGCCTGTACTTGATGAAACTGCCTACTCGTGCATTAGATTGAGATTTGATTCAGAGTTGCTTGTCTGTTGTGTACTGCATCTCGAACCGATGCACATGGGCAAGGAGTATGAGTTGTCATCCATAGCTGCCCTACATGATTATGTCTTCACCTCAGATGTCCAGAAGCCTTGGTCAATGAAGCTCGTGACAAACATGCCCCAACAATCAGTCCTCTCTCAGATCACTGAGATCTCTTCTGCTAGATTTGGTTGCCAAAATAATGGGCAACTGAGCCTGTCCAGCATTTTTATACATGACCCTAAGCATGATGGGATCTTAATTGCTTAAATATCTAAGAAACCACCCCTTGTGGAAACACCTGAGTTCAACATACTTTGCATCCTTCATTTATTCAAGTTTCCTTTATTTTGGCAGTTACCTGTGGGATTAGGTGCTGGTCTTAGGTAGTTTTAATTTTGTTCAGCTAAACAAAGAGAATAGGCTTACCAAGATCTTGGTAATTTACATAAGAAAATAGATCTAATCATATTGTTTTTCACATTTGTGTCTTAATGTTAGTCTAGAATATTTGCAGCAATAAAATATCATACAGCAAAACCTCACTCAAAGAAATTAGCCCATGTGCATCCATTGGGGGAAATTATTTAGCTGTAACTGTCAGAAGATGTTTTTTCTGCTTTGTGTGGAAACAATTTCACAGATTCGAGTGACTTTTTTTTTCATTTTGGAAAAGGGAATTCTTTCTAACATTACTATCGACTCACTCTATTATGACACTAACAATGAGAAAATAAGTCCTGAAATATTCTTCAATATTAGCGATTGTTTCGCTATCACATTTCCTGGCAATTGACATCAACTGTATTTTTTACGGGAACATTTATGTGGGAAAGTAAAACACATTCACCGGAAAAAAAATATATTACGAACACCAAGCAAATAACAATTTTGAACTCCACAACCACTAACGTTTTAAAATACTGGGAGCCCCAAACTATTCTAGACTTTTAGCAGGATTTATTTTTCATTGAGAATGTGATGTGGGTCAAAGTCTTCAAGCCAACCAAGCACTGACTGAAACTGGGAGACTGACTTTTTTTTTAGTATAGTTTTAAATCATACCATATTTACGGTATGGTATCAATCCTGTATTTTTTGTAATATGTTTTGTATTTTATTTGAGGATTTCTCCATCTTTTCTGTCGTATTTTTGGATGCTGAAGTAACTACTGGATCTACTTAATTTAATTTAACTTAATTTTGCTCCACTCGGTGAATCACGCTTCAGCTCCAATGGAAAATGAGAAGAAACAAGGTACCTGTCACACAGAGAGCAGCAGAACTCTTTCCTCATTCTTTTTTTCTCTCTGGCTGTCTCCTGGTGTGTCTTAGATACATTCTTTCTGCTGTTTTGGGCCTGCAACCTTTTCGTCGTCCTCCTTTTTTTCTTTTTCTGAGGAATTTCACTGCAGTTCTGTTCTGTGTCCGACCAGTTCCGGAACAGCCCGCCGCACAGGTGGCGCAGAATACGAGGGGAGCTCCCATGTGTCATCAAGTGTGCCTTAAGATTACATCTGTTGGATGCAAAAGTGGATAGCTTGTGATAATGCGTTTGAGACAGCTAATGTCTGGGAAAGTGTAGCAAAACCACTGCATTAATTAAAAGATCATATTCTGCAGCAATACCACATTTAAATAGTATTTCAACAAGTATTTAAACAGTAATATTTCATTTTCTTGTTATGCATTCTGGACCTACCGTATGCTATCTGTATTTTTAAGGACAAAGAATATCACTTATGTATAGCTCCGCAGTGAGGCCATGGTTTTCAGCTCTCGCCATTGACAATGTTACTGACTGACTCATCCTGTCTCTCTATATATACTGTATGTACGCTGTCACTGACAGTTTCAGGCCAGCAGAAGAATACAAATTCAGCCTATGAAAAATAGCACATTTAGCTTCTTTCAGAATAGAAGTAGACAACTGAGTCTTGAAGCAGGTCTGGGATGCTGCTGCAGTACTGCTAGACAGTAGCGTTTTATCAGAAGGCAAGAGGAAAGCAGATAAATACATTTTAATAATTTCCTCCTATATTACATGTAGCATATTACATGTAGCAGTAATATGGTGGCCTTTCCTTGGAGCTGCAACCTCACAGCTGGGGTGCCTTCAGAGTGAGTTGTTGGTGCACCAAATTCCTCCCACAGTCTAAAAACATGCTGTCTAGGTTAGCTGACATCTTTAAATTATGCCCCAGGTGTGTGCTCCCTGCGATGAAATGCAGTTTAGGCTGTATCCTGC